CTTTCTTTCTTTCTTTCTTTCTTTCTTTCTTTCTTTCTTTCTTTCTTTCTTCCTTCCTTCCTTCCTTTCTTTTTTCTTTCTCTCTCTCTCTCTTTCTTTCTTCCTTCCTTCCTTCCTTGTCAAAGAGAACAAATATAATCCCTCTTCCACACAAGAGCCTTTCAGAGACTTGAAAATCATTATCATGTCTCCCTTGAGTCTTGTCTTCTCCAGCCAATCATCTGCAGCTTTTATTTAACCAGTCCTCATTTGACATGACCAAAGCACTTCACCTTCCTGGTAGCCCTCCTCTGGACATTCTGCACTTGATCATTTTCCTTCTTAAACTGGGGCAGCCAGAACTCAACCCAATGATCCAAGGCCTGCTCCTGACTCATACTGGACAAGTCACTCAGGCTCTCAGTGGCCCAGGCAATTCTCTCAGAATGTAAATTTCTGGATCAGTGGATTAAGTTTCCATACTGGGAATTCCTCTACCAATAAAATCATAGAACTGCCCCCCCCCCCATGATTAATATGCCCAACATCCTGAAATGCATCAAGGAAGATAACAAAAGGAGAACAAAATTGTAGACCATCCAATCTAGGTAAGGAGTAAAACTAATCTACTGAAAGAATAATGAACAACACAAAGCAGGAATTAAGTGTTCAATTTTGTGGTGCAGGCTAATGGGTGCTAGAGGAAGTAAGTGGAAGAAGAGATGGTGAGAAGAGGGTCAGAGAAAGAAGAATGGAATGGTCAAGGAGATTTCATGGAAAAAGTGGCAATTAAGTTGTACCTTCAGGATTTACCAAATCTCATTGGGCAGGAATTCTGGAAGTGGGAAGTTCAGAAAGAGACATTTCAAGTGGCTTAGAATGGCGTAAGTGAGGGAGAAGAGGTAGGAGAGAATATGGCAGGATGGTGGAAAGTTTAATGTAACTAGAAAGGATGACGAGTGTTGGAAAGCAGTGGGAAATAAGGTTGGAAATGTAGAGTAAGACCCTGAATGGTATTGTTAACCTCAGTGGGGACATCAGAATGGGAATGACATTAACAGCTCCATCTTGATGAGATCAGAATATTTTCTACCCTGTATAGCACCACCTCCCAAATCATTTTCAAACACATATACCTTAAAGCAACTGGTTTGGTTAATTCCTCCATCCTAAACCCAGCATCATTCAGGGTAACTGAGGCCCACAGGAACAAAGTTTCAGTTACCAGAAGAGAGAATAGACCAGTTTTTCTTAAAACTAGAAGACAATGTGGTCTAGTCGAAAAAGAATTGGATTTGACATCAAAACACCTAGGTTTAAGACCCTGATTCCAAGATCTACTCTCTGGGTGACTTTCAGTCAATCACTTTAACTAGTTTGAGTCTCAGTTTCCCCATCTGTAAAATGAGGATAATTGATCCTATGTGCTTCAAGGCTATCAAGAGGATGAAATGAGATAATGTATATAAAGTACTTCATAGCCCTAGATTAGTACAATGTCATTTATGACTTAGCACAGAGCTGGAAATTACTTGAGGCCCAGAGGGGTTAAGTGATTTTCCCAAGGTTACAAAGAACTAGGATTCAGATCTTAGGCAAGTGCTGTGGGTAGACAATGAGCTGATCTCATAAGAGTTGGCTGGGCTTGATTACATATGGAAAACTACCCAGCTTTCAATGAGTCTAAGTCACTGCAGCAAAATTTCTTCTTAAAATCTGCATTCTCTTGGCAAAGCCACATGGCTGTGAATCATTTAGGTGCCACACAATATATGGAACTGGCTACATCCATGATCATAACCATCTTCTCTTCAACTCCAGGCATGTCAATGGGATGTCAGGGTCTGAGCAACATTATGATTTCAGAAGAATCAAAATGGCAGGTGACCCAAAGGACAGTGATAAGACATGGGGGCATAGGTCACCTGCAGCTCACCAATGGTCACTTGTGCTCAAGAAGGGTCATAAAAGATTCCATTGGAAACATGTATGAGCAGGAAAAGAGGCCACAGCCACTCAAGTGCTGAGAGTGAGAGATAGCAGCCTGGATAGCTCAAGTGCTATGGTACTTGGGTACCATGAAATATTAAAAGAAGAAAAGAAAGGCTTCCAAAGGGTTGGATGGATCCTCTAGGATGGAGTTACATAGAGACATAAACAAGAATTTTATTGGATGAGAAGGGATGGAGAGGATAGTGCAAAGAATCCATGCCAGTGACATCACAAATCTATCTTAGTAATATTAATATTAATATAAAAGCTAGCATATATTATCTTCCCTGATCTTCACAACAACCCTGTGAGGTAGGTGCTATTATTATCCCATTTTACAGATGAAGAAACTAAGGCTGAGAAGATTATCTAAGGTCCCACAGCAAAGTAAATATCTAAGGCAGGATTTGAATTAACCAGACCTTTGTGATTTGCAAGACTAGCTTTCTAGTTAGGGGGTTCCCTAACACATAGGAATGATCATAAATGGATTTCCACTGGATGGACCATTAATATGACTTCATTCTCCTCACTATTGCTATAGCTCCTCATTAGTTTTCTCCTTTTCTCACCATCATTTCCAACCTTCTCTCAATTAGTGCACCTTCTGTCTGACAAAGGCTATGATCCTACATCCATCTTCCTGTTCAAAAGGTATAAAAATTCCACCATGACTTTTGGAAGTTAAGAGACATCCCTGTTTTAGTCACATTTTCTTATGACCTTTCTGACAAGCCTGAGGTTGTAGGAGAGAGACTGACCAAGACAGTAGCTAAAGGATTATAAGGTTTCAATCTCAAAGGCATCACAAGAATTAACTTCATAGGAGAAAACTGCGGTTCAGGAGGGTGAGGTGATATTCTTAACATTCACAAGAAGCCAAGATGGCACTTGATTCCAGGGCAAATTACTTGACCTCTTATGGTTTTAGGTTTCATATTAGTTAAAAAGAGGAGGTTGTATATGTACAAAAATATTTATAGAGGCTCTTTTTGTGGTGGCAAAGAATTGGAAACTTATGGAATGCCCTTCGATTGGGGAATGATTGAACAACTTATGTGAAATGAATGTGATGGAATATTCTTGTGCTGCTAAAAGCAATAAAGGGTATGGTTTCAGATAAACCTGGCAGACTTGTATCAAATGATCCAGAAGGAGATGAATAGAACCAAGAGAACAAGTTCTACAATCATAACAACATTGTAAAGACAAAACTACTTGGGAAGACTTGGAAGAACTCTGATCCACATAATGACCAACCATAATTCCATAGGGTGCATGATAAAATAGGTGAGGTAATGGACTCAGAATGCAGTCTGAGATTGTGTGGTTTTTGGACATGGTCAATGCAGGAATTTGTTTTACTTTATTACACATGTTTGTAGCACGTGTTTTGTTTCTCTTGATTACTTAATGGGGACAAGGAAAAAAAAGATGGATCTTTGTTGGAAAATAAAACAAAATTTAAATTAAAAAAAGGAGTTGAATTTTGTGACCTCTAAGGTCCTTTTCAATTCTAAATCTATGATTCTAAGATCAACTGACTTTTTTTTTGAGGCAATTGGCATTAAGTGTCTTGGCCAGGGTCACATAGCTAGTAAGCGTCAAGTGTCTGAGGCCCCATTTGAACTCAGGTCCTCCTGACTCCAGGGTGGGTGCTCTATCCACTTCAGCACCTTGGTTCCCCTGATCAACCATCTTTCAATCCAATACCCCTTCTGCTATGCCTCACTGACTCCCAACACCTCACTCCAAATTGGAGGAGGGAAATACAACCAGTGGCTCGGGTTGGAAAGCCCTAGTTCCCTGGTTTTTCTCCCTCAAGACCAGCTTGTCACTGGGGGTGTCATTGGAAGTGAGTAAAGGGAGACTGGCTGAGGCACTTACTGGAGGAGAATGTTCATAGATGTTTGTGCTGTAGGGCAGGTTAATGAAAATAGGGTCCATATCCTGTACATCCGTGATGATGATGGCTAAGTTGGCCAGAGTAGACAGAGGTTTTGTCTTGTCTTGGTCCTTAAAAAAATCAGAAAAAAGGAACAAATTTTAAAAATTAAAAAAATCAGATGATATTCTTAAATCCATAGAATACACACATATATACAAGGAGTAACATATATGTACACATATGTTGGGGACAATATCAAACAGAATCTTCCCTCCCAGAATATTTCTGACCCACCCTAACTAATCATTTTACTAATTCCCTAAGTGGCCTTCTCTGAAAACTGGCCTCTCTATTCAGATGGGATTGAGATCTAAAAGTACTCTCAAAAATTCAATTCAGTTCAAATTCAACAAGCATTTTTTTTTTTGGCTAGGCAATTGGGGTTTAAGTGACTTGTCCAGAGTCACACAGCTAATGAGTGTTATGTGTCTGAGGCCAGATTTGAACTCAGGTCCTCTTGACTCCAGGACCAGTAGTCTATCCACTTCACCACCTAAATGCCCCATCAACAAGCATTTATTAAACCACTACTAAATGAAAACAGTCTGTGCTCTCAAAGCGCTTACATTCTTTAGGGAAAAAACTTGTACATAGGGATATAACTACAGAACATATACAAACAATTTTAGAGCAGGGGAATAATTTCCTTTTTAAAAGACTTGGGTCTCTCTATCTTGCTCAGGGTAGAAATGGGAGGTTTATTTGGATCCCATTCCCTAACTTGGGCTGTTTTCACCCCTCCTGAGGCGACATGATAGTCTCCTACTCTTGTGGGCTTGCTGTAATCAGTGCTGAACTTAATATAGACACATGATTGTCAAAGACCCCTGAGCTCAAAACTCCTGAACTCAAGAGATCCACTAGTCTTTGCTGGGATTATAGGCCTACTCCCCAATCTCTAGTGGGCAGGAGGAGGAGTAACAACTGAGGAGATGATGAAAGGCCTCATGTAGGGGCTGGCACTAGAAATGAACCTGGAAGGGAGCTATCGATTCCAAGAGGAAAAGGTGATGAGTGAGAGCATTCCAATGGAGTGAAGGGAGTGGGACAGCCTGTGTGAAAACAGAAGGGTGGGAGATGGAATGTCATGTACAAGGAACTGAAAATACTCTCATTTGGCCGGGAAGTTGAGTATGTGAAAGGGAACAATGGAAAATAAGTCTGAGAAGATCATTTTCAGCCAGACTGTGAAGGGGTTTAAATACCAAACAGAGGACTTTATATTTTGTCTTGGAGGCAGTACACTGAAACTTGTTGAGAAGGAGAGCGATGTGGCCAGATTTTTGCTTTAGGAATATCAACTTGGCAACTGTATGAATAATGTATTGCAGAAGAGAAAGTCTGGAAGCAGAGAGAGCCATTAGGAAGCTATTGCTACAGCCCGGGTGGGAGGTTTGCACTAGAGTGATGTGACGGTGAAGAGAGGGAAGGGGGTAGATGTGAATTAAGCCAGGAGACTTGGCAACTAATTCCATATGGGGAGTGAGGAAGAGTGTTGAGAACCTAAGTAACTGGAAGGATGTTGGAGTCCTTGGCAAAAATAGGGAAGTTAAGAAGAGAGGTAGGTTTCAATTAACCAACCCATCAATTGATGAACATTTATTAAGCACCTACGGTGTGCCAGACACTATGCTAAGCACTAAAGATACAGAAGAGGCAAAAGATAGTACCTGCTCTCAAGGGGCTTACAGTCTAACATTTCAGGGTATGAAATTCTGACTCTCATTGAGACTGGTTTGGATAGTTCCAATTGTCAGAAAGTTTCTCCTTACGTTGAGCTAAATCTTTCCCTGCTGGAAAACAAGGGACCCTGACCCTGCAGGTCTAGCTGGGTGATCTTGGACAAGTCATATCTCTTCTTTCGGGCTCAGTCTCCTCATAAGTCAAATGAAGGGTTGGACTAAATTACCATTAAGTCTCTTCTCAACTCTCTGATCCTACCTGTGATTCTAGGAACCTGAGAAGTAATGAACAGCTGGAGAGTTCTGACACTGCTAGTTCATGTGGAGTCGGCAGGGGGAGTGCCAAGGTCTACAACATTTCAAAGATTCTCCTTTGTGAAGAAACCTGGACAGGTCATGTGGTGCAATCTCCCGCCTCCAGGCAGGCAATGTCTAAAGTTTCCTAGAGAGATGGCAATCTGGCTGGTTTTAAAGTATGCCAAGGAAGGATGTTAGAAGCCCATCTTAGGTTTTTCCAAGGCACTGCAACATGATGTAGGAAAAACTGTTGGCACTGGAGTTAGAAGGCCTGGGTTCATATCTTGGCTCTGTTATATACACTTTGATGTTATGGACAAATGGCTTTCCTTCTCTGGCCTTAGAGTCTTTATCTGTAAGATGAGCGGAGGGAGGATTAGTTGACTCCTCTATGGCCCCTCCCTGGTGGGAGATGTTTTTTTAAGAGGTGGAAAGGACCACAAGAGCCATCTAGCCCATCCCCCTTCATTTTACAGATGAGGAAACTGGCACTGAGGACAGCCAAGGGACTAGTCTAAAGTTACCCAGATAGGATGTGCCAGAGATGGGATTCAAATCCAGGTCCTCTGGCTCCAGGAAATTGTGCTCTTATGTCAGATCTTACTTAGTTTTTCTTGGACAGTTGTAGTAACAAACCCAAACCACTGACGACTTTGAAAAGAGATCTCAAAAGACAATCCCCTCCCCCAATCCTTTGCAGAGTTGGAGCAGGGGGCAGGGGGAGGTTGGGTAGGAGGTGTCTGCAACTACAACTGCAAATATAGCCAGTTTTTAAAAAAAATGTTTTGATCAGTTTTGCTGATTTTTTTTCTTTTTTTAAAAAGATTCTTTTTATAATGGGATGGCTGTTTGGGAGGGAAGGGGAGAGAAACAAGGAGGAAACATGTGAGATATAAAAACAAAAGACATTAATACACACTTTACCCAGAGGTGGAAGATGGAAAGTCATGTATAAGGAACAGCAAATAGTCTCCTGTGTGGTCCTCTAGGACTTTGTTGTTGGTGTGGAGTTGTTTTAGTAATGTCTGACTCTTCATGACCCCATTTGGGGTTTTCTTGGCACAGACAGTGGAATGGTTTGCCATTTCCTTCTCCAGCTCATTTTACAAATGAAGAAACTGAGGCAAAGAGGGTTAAGTGACTTGCCCAGGGTCATACAGATAGTAAGTATCTGAGGTCACATGGAACTCAGGTCTTCCTGACTCCAGGCCAGGCACTCAATCCACTACACCACCTAGCTGCCCCTCTAGAACTACAAGGTATCTATATACATACCTATGCATATGCTTATGTATATATCTACCTACATATAAATATACACACATATGTATATATAAATATAAACATATATATATAGAGAGAGAGAGATTGCTATTTATCTATAAATAAACATGTGTATGTGTATAATTATATATACCTCAAGCTTGTCCTTTTTAATCTTAGGGGTTACGCTATAGATTTCTGGTGAGAGAGAAGCTATGCTTCCAACAGAACAGGGTGGGAGGCCATATCCTTAAGTACCAACTAAGGCTGCCAAAGATGGTGCCTGAAGAGCAGGGATGATGCTGGGTGGGACCAGACCCCAGAACTTGGCTGAAGAAGAACTGTCTAAAAGGGGATGCTTAGATGAGAAGACCATTACCCGAGCTGGAGGAAGAGCCCCCCTCATACAAACTACCAATTAGTAACTACTCATGGTTGGTGGTTACAGCCAAGGCCCCAAATGGTCATGAGGCCACCAAGGCTTGGGTATGAGGGTGCTATGAAACAAGCATTGTTTCTTGCCCAGAAATGGGAGTTGAATCTGCGTTGATTTTTCCCTGGCAAAAATGAGTAGCCATTGGGACTTTCACTTTGATGTGTATCTGTTCTTTCCTTGGATAGAATGCCAATTCCTTCAGGATATAGGTGGTTTTATTTGCATAATTCCAGTGCTTGGGACAGCCTGGTACATGACAGATGCTGAGCAAATGCATGTTGATCGAATGGTTGATCCAGACTGGTATCCTGCCATCCCAGTACCAGCCAGGGCTCCAGCCACTATGCTTCTCTTGGATGCCAGGGCTTCTAGTGTACCCAGGACTCTAGTGGTCAGTAAAGGATGAAAAGTTCCAATGGAGTGGCGCCCTGGGAGTGCCAGCTGGGACATAGAATGGGACAGGCACTTCTGCCAGTAGAGACACTCAAGGCATGCAACTTGTTCCCAGAAGGATGCTTGGGCTGTCCCACTCCAGTGCCTTCCTGGTGCCCCCTTACCACTCCACTAGATGTTAGGCATTACAATGAGCTTCCATGGAGAGATGCCCAGTGGCACAGGGCACAATGCCATCCCTCATGTGACTCAATAATACAACCCACTTACTCAAGGAGAGGGCAGTGAAAGACATTATTTTGGCAAAGAACAGCCAGCAGTGGGAGCTCCATGCCCTCCCTGCTCCATTTTCCTCTTGCAGCTTCAAGGACACGAGGCCTGATTGCCAGGAGATTAGTGGTAATTTAGCTGTATTTGCCATGTATTCACCATCACAGCTTGGGTGCGGGCCTCTTGATAACCTGTGGTCACACAGGCTCCCACCCGCCCACTTGATACTCTGCTATTGTCCTGAATTACCTTACCACTAGATGAAAATTACCCAGCAAGGAGTACAGACTGTGTGTGTGCACGTATATCCACAGAGTTGTGTGTCTGGCTATGTGCACTGGCTATGTGGGAGAGGGTGTTGTGTTGGTCTATGGGTGTGTGTGGAAGCCTGGGTGGCCTTGTGTAGGCATGGACAAGAAAAAAGCCTATTGAAGATTTGCAAATGTTCAGAATTTATAGTGACAGTAGAAAGCAGACTTCAAATTAGTTATCCATTTATACTTTGTAGGGGAGGGGAAGGAAGATGTTAATTTATCTTACTTCCTGTTGCTCTCATAGGTTTGTTTTTTAAAAATGTTAGTGGGGTCAAAGAATCTTAGATGTACAGTAGTAAGACACTTTGCCTGCTCTCCAGTTCAATCCCATCATTTTATACGTGAAAACACTGAGGCTCAGGGAGGGGAGTGACTTGCCCAAAGTCATATGGGTATCAGAGTCAGGATTTGAACCCAGATCTTCTTGCTCCACAACAAGTGGAGTAAGTGGTCCACTGGACCACTCTGTATCCTTTTTTCCCTTGTAATTATTTTCCAATCTGATTAATTTTCCAATTTTCCAATCCCATTAAAGCTAGGGCAGGTAGTATGATTTTTGTATTTCTAGCTCCCGGGCTATTAGAACTCTGTTCGTCTAGACTTTGATCCCATCCCCGGTTTCCATTTCCCTCTTCTCTCTTCTCCCCTGGCCCCCAGCAGGCTTGGCTCAGGAGCTTAGGGTGGATGTGCAGCTCCTTCCTCTGGCTCTGGGCTCTCCACCGCTTCTCTCAATGTCCAGGCTGCCAATAAGAGCTCACCAGGTGGCAATTTTTGCGAGATGAGCAAATGGGTCCTGGAGGGCTAATAGGGACTCGCTTGGCTCATTCTGCTGTTGGCCTGAGCCTTTGAAAACAAAGGACACCTACGCCCTGAGGCCACGTGTGCTGTACATCATCAGCTTGGCGGGAGGGCAAGAAGGTGACTCAGTCCCTTAGGGTATGGCTCTCTTATCCCAAGTCCCTTGGCTGGGGCCAAGCCTTACGGATGGGCAAACTGATTAGAGAACAGCTTTGCTGCCACCAAAGAACTCTCATGGTGCCTTAGTGTAGCATGAATATTTTAAGTGGGGTCAGGAGGCGTCTTACACCTGATATGTCCATTTTACACAGAAGATAATAAAAGCTGTCATTCTGCAGTGTGAACACACCTCCGAAACACAGATGGACCTGGATCCATGTGTCCACCAAAAATAGAACCTTTTGTTACCCTAACTCCAGGGAGGACTGGTGAGGATGGGACAGGTAGGAAAAACCACCAGGAGAGGAAGAGTCATGTCCTCTGGTAACACAAAGCCCTGTCCCTTCGTAACTCACCGTAGCATTGACCACGAGCTGGTAGGCCTGAGTAATCTCGTAATCCAGTTCACGAATCACAGTGACGATGCCCCGGGCACTGTCGATGGCAAAAAATTCTGAGGGTGGCTGGAAGGAGTAAAGGACGCTGCCCCCTGCTCCCAGGTCAGGGTCCGTGGCATTCACAATGAAGATGGGTGTTCCCACCGGTGTGTTCTGGGGAAAAGAGAAAAGCAAATAAAGAGTGAGGTGGAGTGAACAGAACAGCTGCATCTATCAGTGACTATTCCCCCAAAGCCCATTAACTTCGTCCAGTCAACCAACCAAGTCAAAGGCTTTGTCATTTTCATTCTGAGTGGGTTCAAAGGACTTTAAAATGCCATATCTGTTTTTTTTTTTTTTTATGATGGTCTCCTGGTAGCTGCAACAGTCCTCGATACAGTAATCGTCATGCTTGCCCTGGAGTTCTGGACTTCTTCTCAAGCCCCTATTTCTTGGCACTCCTCATCAATCAGGGTTGGACCGCTTTTGGGAACGGAATGGGGGAGCTGGGCACCTGTAATTTCCTAGGGAGCAGGAGGTCAGAAGCAACAGTATCCTCTTCATTTCCTTATCCCCCTTTCCACTTTGCCCCGTGTCCTTGGGAGACTTTATCTGATGGTTGGGCATTAGAGATGGATTCTCGACTGCCATTAGAAAGATCCTTGAACTTGCTACATTTATTCCTTTAACTGTGGCAAGAATTTAGTCTTGCTCTTTATGAGAAAGTAAGGATAGAATTACTCCCCCTACCTACCCAAATGATGCCAGTTTAGATGGTCCCTGTGCCCCCCCCACCTAGGTAGAGGTTTGGGTCATAGAATGACAGGATCATAAATGTTGAGATGGATGGAACCACAGAGAACATTTAGTCAAAAGGCCTAGGGAGGGTAAGTATCTTGTCCAAGGTCATACAGGAAGAGTAGGCAGATGAGGCAGAATTTGAACTCAGGTCCACAGTCTTCAAAAGCAAGGCCTAGTAGAAACTCTATATCCTCCTCACTCCCAGACAGGGCTGAGGATTAGGACAGGGATATTCACACAGCAAACTGTTAATCACTTTCCTATAAGCCATGGGTTCTTAACTCGACGATGCACCCACAAGGGGTGAGTGGATATATTTCAGGGGGTCTATGATGTTGGATAGAGAAAAAAAATAACTTCTTTATTTTCATTAACCAAGTGAAATTTAGCATTTCCTTTATGAATGTAGGCAACAAAACATGGTTCTGAAAGGGTCTACAGGCTTCACCAGACCTTCACAGGGGTCCAGGACACAAAAAAGGTGAAGGACTCCTGCTTGTCACCCTCTTTGGCGTTGGGTGAGAGACATGGCCCAGTGCCATTGGTATTTGTTGTCTGTACTTCAGTACTCAGTCCACTCAGGCACCCCAGCCAGGATCCCCAAGGTTGGGTAATTTCTGTCAGGAGGGCCAAGTGTTAAGGGACAATTTTTGTATTTGGCTTCTGCCTTCTGAGCTGACTAAAGCCAGGAAAATTCTGCCTGTTCAGGCAGGCTTGATGGCATAGAAGGATCACTAATTTCATTAGGAGCCAATTATTACTTTAAGGCATTGTTCTGAGGACCTGGGCCTCCAGGTTAGGCAGAGGCAGAGGCAGAAGGACCTTGGGTGAGATGGAGATATGTGCCAATAGGGGAGATAACAATAAAGGGTTTTATCTCCATACTTTCCCGCTAAAGGATAAAAAGTCAAATTGGCAAGAGTAACGCTGTGAGATTAAACACAGAGCCTGGTTTCAGAGTGGCTCTTGGCAACTCAAGGATTTGGCAGGTCAGAGACGAACAAGAGAGTGAAGAGTGACTATGTGGTTAAAATTCAAGCCAGGGCCTGTGTGTCTTGACCACAGTCATTAAGGAATGATATATTTTGGATTAGAGACCATTTGGAAAATGCTTTCTGGTATTCGCCCCTAAACCTCTCTAGATGGATGCAGGCCAGAGTGTGAACAGGCCGAGACATGAACAAGCTGAGAACATAAACATGGGTGTGAACAGGTCAAAGGTGCAGACAGGCTGAGGGTATGAGAGGGGTGAACAGGCCAAAGGTGTGGACAGGCTGAGGGCACAGACGGGTATGAACAAGCTAAGGGTAGGGACAGGCGTGTGAACAGACCAGAAGTGTGGACAGGTTGAGGGCATAAATGGGTGTGAACAGGCCAGAGGTATGGACATATCCTCTGCCAAGTAGGATGGGCCCATCCCCAGTACACCAGGCCAAAGCTGCTTCCGTTTCCCTCAAGGATTCACCAGTGGTACATGGTCTGGACCCAGACCCTCTACTGCTCCCTAGCCATCTTCATTCTGCTAGGCTCTGATGCCCCAGCCTCTACTTCTGAACTCTGGGTTTCTGAGTGGTGAGCATTCCCTATAGGTAGCCTGGACCCAGATTCATCACCCTTTATGCCATGCTTTTGGGTCTGTAAATTGTCCTATAAAAGGTAGAGATAGGGACTGAACCTGTGGTTTTATGGGCATAAGAAATTCTCAGGTAAGGAATCCCTCCCTCTACCAGTGAAAAATGGCACCTCACCTCCATGTTAAAGTCTCAGCTGCCTAGAATGATGAAGGGTAAAATGACTAGCTCAGGGTCACACAGCCTGTTTGTGCTGTAGGTGGGACTTCCATCTAGATTTTCCTGGCCTCTCTGTCCACTATGCCTTTCTAGAAGAACTAGCTAACAGGGCATTAATAATAGGAACATTTCTATAGTTCTCATTGGCTTACAAATTATATAAATTACTTATTTGGTGTTACCCTTTGGGTGTCAAGGTAGTTTATTTATTATGCCCATTTTATGATGAGAAAAATAGGCTCTAGAGAAGTTAAATAATTTGCCCATGGTCACACTAGAAAGTAGTGTAGACAGCATTTGAACCTGGGTCTTCTGACTCCAAATTTAATGCACTTTCTCCTATGCCATAGCTGCTCTTCTAGGACAACCTTGCAAATGCACACATCTCACATTTACACACTTTTAAAACAATGCTTACCAACCCACCCTAACCCTGGCAGTAAGATTAATAAAGCCGGGCTAGAGCCGCCATTAACTGTTACTAGTTTTAAGTGAGTGATTTGAGGGACAGTGTCATGTTACCTGTGGTGTTAACCACGGAGGTGGGAGTCCAAAGTTATACAAACAGTCCTGCGTGTGACACTGTGCAGGGCATTTTATGTTTCTTCTTTATTTCTCTATAAAATGGAAAAAATACTACTTGCACTATCTGCCTTATAGGGCTGTTGGGAAGAAGAACATTTATGAAGTGCCTACTTAGTACTAAGCACTGGGCTGGCCACTGGCAAAACAAACATTGAATGGTCACTGACCTCAAGGAGCTTACACTCTAATGGAAGTGGCAGTATATATACACATATGTATATGTATCTATACATGTGCAGTGCATATACACAAGCACACAGATATATATTTACATGTGCACACAGACGTGTTGATGATAGACATTATATATACACACATGTGTACCTATGAAAACAAAACACTGAAACAAACAATGTAACCTTGGGATAGGGAACAATGGAGAAGAAGGAACAGCCAGAAAGGCTTCCTGCAGAAGGTGGTGCTCGAACTGAGGAACGAAGGAAGCTGTGGTTCCAAAGAGATGGAGGTAAGGAGGGAGTGCATTCCAAGCAGGAGGTACATCCCATGCAAAGGCTAAAAATGGATTATGTGAGGGACAGCAAGAAGTCCAGCTTGCCTGCACCATTCAGGGTGTGGTGGGAAGCAGAATGACATAGAAGAGGACTGGAAAGCATGAATTAGGCACTTATTGTATGCAAAACACTACACTAAGCTCTGGGGATAAAGATAGAAAAGCAAGCTAGTCCTTGCTCTCAAGAAGCTTATGCTCTAACGGGAGGAGGGCTCAGTTGCCGGGCAAATGGAACGGCCCTCTTGGAGGAGAGGTCTCTGGAAGCAACCCATGGTTCCTGATCCAACTGGACCCTTGGGAGTAATGTGGAATAAGGCAGGAGAGGTTGGGTGGGTCCAGGACAGGCACAACTATAAAGGCTGTACATTAAAATGCAAGAAAGCGTAGAAGAAATATACAAAACAGAAAACAGGAAAACAAAGTATAAGAAATGCTATAGGGGGCAGCTAGATGGAGCAGGGGATAGAGCTCCAGCCTTCGAGTCAGGAGGACCTGAGTTCAAATCCAGCCTCAGACACGTGACACTTACTAGCTGTGTGACCTTGGGCAAGTCACTTAACCCCGATTGCCTCACCAAAAAAAAAAAAAAGAAATGCTATAAAGTAGAAAAATACTGTAAGCTAGGATGAATCAATAGATTAACCAACCAACATTTATTAAAAGCCTTCTATGTGTCAGACCCTAAGGATAAAGGTACAAATACTAAACAGTTCCTGTACATATGGAGCTTATGTTCTCATGAATGAGTATGTATATGTGTATATGTATTTATATATACACACATATACATATACATTTATATATACACACATATCCTCTCTCCTCCCCTGTACATGTATAGCATAGCTACAAACTGAATAAATACAAATTGTTTACTTATAGTTAACTATATATATGTGTGTGTGTGTGTATATACACACACACACATTTATGGCATATATATATATAGACACACACACAATGAAGTGTTGTGTACTAAATTTTTGGGGGCAGATTGGTAACACTGGTCAGAGAGAAAATAGCTCAGTTTGGGTAAAAGAGGGTTTCTGGTAGCAGTATCTATAGGTTAACTGTTTTTGTTACATCATTCAACACCAGAACTGGGATGCTGCTCATGACACACAGTGGAGGTACAACAGGGAAAAAATTTTTAAATCGCTATTTAATAAATGCATATGTTTAAAATGCTGACACTTTGCTTCTATATGTGTGTGTATGCACACATAAACATATAATACACATATATACAAACATGTACACATATAGGTGTGTATGTGTGTGCATACACACACACATTTAGGTAGCTTGGTAGCGCGGTGGATAGAATGCTGGGCATGGAGTCAGAAAGACCTGGGTTTTTCAAATCTGGTCTCAGATACTAACTAGCTGTGTGACATGAGGCAAGTCATTTAACCCCTACCCACCTCAGTTTCGTCACCCATCTCACAGGGGTGTTATGAGAATAAAATGAGGTAACATTTGTAAAG